TCCATTCTCCTGAATTGTCGACCCTAGGTATCAAAAACAATCTCTTTTAGGAATTTCTTGACCATCAGTCTTAACTACTTCCTCTCTCCTACTCTGATTATTATTAACTTGCATTCCATTTATTCTATCTTAGTCCGGCTAATTTTAAAACCTTTAGATTCTAAAGCATCCTTCCAACGTTCCAACTTTGCAATCACGCTGCCTCTAGTCTCCCCAATCAAAACTATGTCATGCGTAAACAACATACACCACAATACCTCATCTTGTAAATGCCTAGTTGACTCATTCATAACAAAAAAAAATTATATATCATATATTTTATATTTCATATAATATGGAATACATCATATATTTTATATTTTTTGTTTTTGGTCGAGTCCAATTGACTTGGACCCTAACATCCTTAACTACCACCATCCTTAACTGCCATCATTAACATAATTTTCCTCTTCAAAATTTAGTCTCTCCTCCCCAAACTCCAACAAGTAGTCAAAAATTGAACTTTTCATAAAATCTATAGCCTCGTAAGGGTTCTCGTCATAGATTGGTGGACAGTCCCAACCTATGACTTGCCGATTTTGGGAACTGCTTCAATGGAATATATTCCTCCATGGTCAGCCTTGGAGAGGATTGCATAAAATTCAAGGAAGTCAACTTGAATACCCGGTTCACACTCTCTTCGCTTGGATCTTCCCGTATCACAATCCCGCTCATGTCTATCCCCACTATCCATGCCCTATGCCAATCTAAGGGCCACGTACTACCTTTAAAATATAAACTAAAAAAGTTAACTTCCTAAAATCTCTCTCACCCCCCTCCAAAAAAATAATAAGAATAATAATCTACTACTCACATACTAGCACTCCATTTATTCCTCACGCACTTCCCCCCAATCCTTTTTCTTCGTTATTTTTTAGAATCTTGCACCCCATACTAATGCCATGAGGATACCCAAACGTAACTCCCACGATGGTCGACTCCCATCAAATACGACTACCGCAAAAAAAAAAAGGAAACTAATAAAAGCCTCATCCTAACAAATAAGAAGTTGACCATCTTTATCTTTTGAGAATAGAAGTTGACCACCTTTCCCCATGACAATAAATCAAAACCCAATTTAACCCCTAAACTACAATTCCCAAAAGTTAACCCTAACAAATCAATAAATAAGTCCAAACCTCTAAAATAAATTTCAGTGTAATTCTTGAATGCTTCATATGCGATTTGCATCATTGTGACAAGCTATGATGTAGGATATCAAACCTCCTAAACAAAATGGCACTTGGGATCTTATACCTATTGTTAGGGAAGAGGCTCCAGTTCAAATAAAGTGGATTCATTATGTCAAAACCCTGTCAAAGGGGTTTGTTAACCATAAAAAGAAGGGTATGTCAATAGGTACAAAGCAAAGCTACTAGGAAGTCAAGGTATACGCCAAAGACATTCATACCTATCGTGTTGGGATTCAACCGTATTTCTTTCCTTTTCTTTGGGTTTTTTAATTTAGAAGATAGAGAGGATATAAAGCTAGGTAGGAGAGATATGGAGATAGAGATTACGGCTGATCATTTAGGATGATAAGGAAGATAAGGTTTAGTAGTTTAGAAGGGACCAAATAATGATTTCCTTTGAGTTGCCATTAGATTAGTTCAGTTCTATTTTCAGGTAGAAATATAGCTATAGAAGATACCATGTAACTCATTTGAGTAACGAATTAAGGTTTTTATTATTTGGGATAACAGGAGATATGTTTTATCATTATTTTTTTGTGCAAAAGATGTGTGATCCTAGCATTTGGTATCAGAGCCAACAAATGGGACACAAATGGTCGAAACATGATATCAAAACCTAGAAGCGGAGATTAAGCAAATGACAAAAAACTATAAAACAAACTACAAACGAAAGCACCAAGTTCTTACAAAGATTTTGTAGACTCAAAACAACTTTCAACCACCATCGAAACATCTAAGGCAACGACAGTACAAGAAACACCAACCAAGGACTAATAAAGAAAGTGCCATCTAGACAAGGATGGTGCTAGTAGATCTTCTCCATTTTGATGGTGAAGATCCTGCCTGTTGGATTTGTCAAGCCCAACATTTTTCTAATATTAAAATATTCGAGAGGACAAAAGGTTCTAATGGCATATTCATCTCAAAATTAAAGCCATACAATGGTATCAGTGGCTAAAAAGGGCCATGGGACCATTTGGGACGTCCGAATTTGAAGATTTTGTTAGGGCCTTAGAGAAGTTGAGACAAACCATGTCGGTTCGCAAGTATTATACAAAATTTGAGAGGCTACCTAATTGGACCTTTCGGTTGTAAGACGAGTTTCTCATCAATTGTTTATTATGAGGGATGAAGGACGAGGTCTGGTATGATGTTCAGATGCTAAAACCTCGAACAGTGATTACAGCTATGAGTCTTTTGCAATAGCGAGGCGATAAGTTGGAATCCCAATGGGTACACCAGTAAAGGCATAATAGATTTGCCACCATACAACTTACAATGTCTAGCTTGGCCCCAACGCTGAAGTCCACAACTCCACCCATTAGGCATCTTACGCCAATGGAGATAAAAGAACGACGTGACAAGGGGTTATGTTACAACTGCAACGATGAGTAGAACACAAGTCAGTATTGCAAATCCCAAAAGTTATTTGTTACGGAGGGGAATTGGTTGGATGAAGGAGAAAATTCAGGGGAGACAGTTGCAGAGGGAAGGGACTAGCATGGCCTCAACGATGCAACTTGGTCGCATCTCTATAAGCTACAAAAATAATCTCTATAAGACCATGAGAACAAGGTCCACTTCAAGGGGAGGGAACATTAGGATCTCACCTTATTACTTTCATTTTCCTTAGGTTTTTCAATTTAGAAGAAAGAGAGGATACAAAGTTCAGTAAAAGAGATATAGAGATAGAGATTACAATTGATCATTTGGGAAGATAGGGAAGATACGGTTTAGCAGTTTAAAAGGTACAAATAAAGATTTCCTTTGGGTTGTCATTAGAATAGCACGGTTTCTATTTTTAGGCAGGAATAGACTTGTAAAAAATACCTTGTAACTCTTTTGAGAAGAGAATGAGGGCTTTTATTATATGGAGTAACCCATAGGAGGCCTTTTGTCCCACTCAAACTGGGCTCTTCTCTCTTTTCTTCTCTTTTTTATCACTATTTTTCTATGCAAAATCTCTGTGATCCTCGCATTTAGTATCAGAGCAAGCAACTGGGAAACAAATGGCCAAAACATGATATCAAAACCTTGAAGTAGACATTAAGCAGATAAAAGAAAACAATGAAAAGAACTTGGAACTGCAACACTTAGTTCTTGAGGAGATTTTGCCAACAGCTTTCAATCGCCATCCAATGACCCCAAAGGGAAACATCTAAGGCAATGACAGTACAAGAAACACCAACAAATGGGACTAATAGAAGCGACATCCAAACAAGGACGGTGTGAGTAGATTTTCCCCATTTTGACAACGAAGATCCTATATGCTGGATTTGTCGCGCTGAACAATTTTTTTAATATAACAATATTCAGGAGAAACAAAAGGTTATAGTGGCATCCTTTCATCTCGAATGGAAGCCATACAATGGTATCAGTGCCTAAAAAGGGCCACATGACCATTGTCATGGGAGCAATTTACAAAGGTGTCGAGTCCACAATTTGGACCTCCAAATTTGAAGAGTTGGCTGGGGCCTAAGCCAAGTTGAGACAAACCATGTCAGTTGGTGAATATTAAACAAAATTTAAGAGGCTATCTAATCAGACCTCAGGGTGGAAAGAGGAGTTTCTCATCAATTGTTTCATTTGCAGGCTGAAGGATGAGGTCTGAAATGATTTCAGATGCTAAAACCTCGAAGGGTGGTTACAGCTATGGGTCTTGCGCGATTGTAAGGCAATAAGTTGGAATTCCAACAGGTATACCTGCAAGATTAGAATAGAGTCACCACCGGACAACTTACAAATTCTAGCTTGCCCCGGTGCCTAAGTCCACAACCCCACCCATAAGGCATTTTACTCCAGTGGGGATGCAAGAACGACATGGGAAGGGGCTATTGTACAACTGCAATGAGAAGTACAATGCAGGAAATTGCTGCAAATCACAACAGTTATTTTTCTTGTGAAGGAAGGGACTAGCATGGCCTCAAGGATGCAAGTGGTTAGCATCTCTATTTAGCTACAATAATAATCGCCGCATGACCCTGGGGACAAGGTCGATTTCGTAGGGGAGGGAATCTTAAGATCATCACTAGATTAGTTGCGTTTCTACTTTTAGGCAGACATAGAGTTGTAAAAGATACATTGTAGCTCATTTGAGAAGAGAATGAAGGTTTTTATTAGTTGGGATAACCCTTAGGAGGTCTTCTGCCTCCCTCAAAGTGGGCTCTTCTCTAATTTTGTTTTGTTTTTTATTACAATTTTTCCATGTGAAAGCTCTGTGATCCTATACAAATGGGAGCCACTTCCTCAAACTAAACAATGCGAAATATCATATCAGGAGGTTGAAATCAAATATGTTGCTCCGTTTGTGAATCAAAATCATTCCCCCCTTTCTAGTTTTCATAAGATTATCCCTATTTCAGTCATCTACGCAAGTTTTTGCACACGTCAAGACATATAAATCAAGGAGAACTATTATCTCCATTTATAGACAAATATTTTGCAATAACGACACAAATCATTTGAATAAGCGAATCAACAGCTAACCAACAAGAGAAAAAGACGATGTATCCAACCATAAACAACCAATCCAAATAACCAGTTCCAGTACAGATAAAATCCCCAGAGAATAATCCAAAACACTAACAGAGCAATGTACTAAAAAAAATAAAAATAAAATAAAAACAAGATTACTGGAAACAATGTCAAAAAAAAAAAAACACTGGGGCGGAATTCATTGATAGAAAAAGTACACACAGCTTTGGATCAAAAAGCCGTCTTTAGGACGCATGCAGTTACGATGATATTTGAAGCCGAAGAGACCCATACCTCAAAGTTGAAGAAGAGAAAGCAAAGAGAGGCATAACAAACTCCTGCCTCTTCTTCATGTACTTGGAAATGCACAGCACCATTGAAGAAGCAGAGTTTGGCTTTTGGGCAGGCGGGAGCATGGGTAGCTGAGGGCCCCCGCCATGGAGAAGAGTTTCGGGCGCCATAGCTCACCAAATGGTCCTTTTCCTCTCAAAAGACTTCATGGCTGGAGAGAGACAGAGAATATGCGAGTGTGGGCGATAATATTCCAAGTGTTAAGAGAAATGTCTGGTCCAGATCGATCCACAGAGGGATGAGAGAGAGAGAGACAGGGATCTTTTAGGCAGTGGAGAAAAGAACAAATGGAAATGCACTCCAGAGCAAAAATGGAGCAATCAAAAGAATTGGAATTATAGAATAGGCGGCAACCGATTTAGTATCGAGTCTGGAGCCTCGAGTTTTTCTCTGACGATTCCAAGGCCACACGGTCGAGATGACTTTTTGAAAAACGATTAGGACGTGGTAGGCTGAAAATCACGTTAGGCATAAACAGCAGGGTGTGGTTTCCATGAGGTTGCAATCTTAAACCATCCAATTAAGGCGCACCTCTAAATTTTATTATAAATGTAATTTTGATGTAAAAAACTGGGTTTGAGAATCTATTTTAATCTCTAATTATAAAATTTTAAACTCTAAAAATGGTATGTAGATCTATAAATGACGATCCAGGTAATGTATACATTATTTTGCGGACTCTAAATTGTTTTTTCTTTTGATGATGATACATCTCGATGTTTTTTTTTTACCGAAGTTATAATATTTTATTACTTAATTAGGCATCGATTACATCATTCAATAAAGAAATAGAATCCATAGAAACCCCCCTCTTAGCAAGCGTATCAACCTCAAAGTTGCTCTCCCTATATACATGCTGAAAGAAAATAGAAAAAGAAGCTGCCAAACCTATCACTTTACCCCAAAGTGATATGAGAGACCAAAGAACTCGTTGCTCATGTTTACACCACCTAATAACATTCAAGGAATCGCCTTCAACCAATATAAAGTTCCCCATATTTATATTTTTAATGAAATGTAGAACAAAGAGTATCCGCAATGTTGCGATCATCAATTAGAGAGTTTTCTTGCATCCAAACAACCTTTTATGATGGATTTTTGAGGTCCACCTTTAATTCTACATTTTAATGTTGCAACCTTATTTAAACTTTTTCCTAAACAGCAAACCTTTGTGTAATTACTTGTTATTTTAATTTCAAATAAGAGATGTGTCTTCTCACCACCAACTTTAGGCTTATAAGCCATTAATCAAGTTACTAGCAATATCATTGCTAAGAGTCTTAAGTTGGTACTAAATTACATCATTAGCCCTAAACAATTGTCTTTCCACAAAAACAAAGTATTTTTAAGCAAAATTTAATTGCACATTAACTTAAAAACATTTTTTGTTTGAAATTTGACGTCCATAAAGCTGTTGACGAGTATTTGAGAAAACATACCAGTGGGGTGCATCGTCCACCCATTGCTCTTGAGTCGGATCATTGGGTCATTAATCTGGATCGATCTAAATCGACAATTTGAAAAAAAAGAAAAATTAAAAATAAAGAGAATTGAGAGAAGGCCCATTTGGATGCCTAGAGAGGGCTCTCTGACAGATACCTCTCTTGGTATTAGCCTAGCTCTCCTGCAAAGATGCCTCTCTCAATTTTGCCCCAAAAACAAAGGGAGCACTATTCTTCCAAGACCATAGAACTTAGTTTGATACTAAAATGTGGATTCGAGGGCCACGTACAATGCACGGCTAATGTTACAAACAAGGGAATCAATAGAGGAAATTATATATATTTAGGAATCAATGGGGTCGACCTCCTCACATGCTAGGGCCTTGTACGCCGCATACCTGAGATTAGAAATAGGTGAATCAAAGGTGGAAATTAGTTCAGCCAACGTCTTAAAGTTTATTTTTCTCACACATCTATACCCCTCTCTCTTCCCTACCTTTCTCTCTTCCCTCTTCTTCTCTACTTCCTGTTTACAGTTGAATCCAAGCCTAATCTAATTTCAGCAAAAATTTGCTCTAAGATTAGTAACCTAAGACTGAGTGTGACCCTGTCGAATTCTGATATAAAGACGACTCAATCTCAAAGGAAGATTAAACCTTCTATAGATCACCGGCAGCATAGATTATGAATCGCATCGAAATCAAGGAAACAAGTAAAAATAATAAAAATATAAAATAAAATACTAAAATAAGAGATTGTCTATAAAGAAATCATTTACCTTTTATGCAAGGAGATTACAACTATTGTTACTCATTAGATGTTAAATTGGATGGCTTGGGGTGAGTCACGAAGTCCAAAAAAAAAACATGGAATTTTGTGTCTAATCAATGACACTCTTACAATCACCCATTTAGAAATCTAAGGGACAATAATTATTTTGACCTCCTTATACAAAAAGTAAATGATCTCTTTACAGACAATCCTATAAAATAAAGCAAAAATAAGATTTTTACAACCATCGGGACTGCTGGCCTGGCATCGAAAGTAGGAGCTTGGATAAAAGTAAATTAAATGATTGAATCCCTCTTATCCTTTAGAGAGTGAGAATGCTCCCTTCGACCTTAGGATTTGAATATTAAAAGGATTCCTCAAAAAGTTAGGCTTAGGTCATGAGATTGATGTATTAAGAAATTAGGTTTAGGGTTCAACTAAGACTCTTGAATGAAAATTAGCGTTTATGGGGACTGGAATTTCTATGGCTCTCTGATCTCTAAGGGTTTTGAACGACTTTACAGTTCCACCTCCGAAAGCGTCAAGAATGAGGTATATTTATAGGCAAAAGTCATTCAAAATATGGAAGGCAGTGATTCTACATAAATCCTGGGCTAACACATGGCTAGGCCACATCCTATCATGATGGATTTCTCGTTGCTATGTCGCACCATGCAGCGCCAATAGTTAATCAGATTCAAGTTACATCGATTTTATTGGGATTTGATTCTAAGGGGTCATTTGGGTGCTTGGAAATATATTGTGTGGGGAATATGTTAATGGCGTAATACGTTACCTGCAAATGGATTGTTATTATTTGGGTAGCATCTAGATGCAACCCGGAAAATACATTGCTACTATTTGGCTATGTCAAAAAGAAATATGAGAAATACATTACTAACATTTTTACTAGGAAATACTACGTTAATTTTATCTATAGTAACATAGTTTTTTTTTTGAGTTTTTTTTTTCTTTTAGGACAGAATATCAATTAAAACTACTTTGTTTTATAATATGTGAAGGTAATAACCATATAGGTTAATTTTATCTTTCAACCTATAATTATTTCATTAATAGGTGAATGACTTCACTATTTTCCAAAGGGAGAATATAGTGATCATCACAAGTTCACAACTATAGCATTCAAATCTAAAGGATCGTTTTAATGCCTTTGAACGTAAGACGAATCAACCATTAAATTACCAGAATAAAAAAGGACAAAAATTTAATTGCACCTATCAGCCTTTATTTTCATGTACAAATTTTACACGGCGTACCAACATTTTTATCCAACTAATGGCATGGACAGTTTGTATACCATCTTATACTTAATATATTGAGATAATTTCTTTTTAAAGAAAATAAGATGTTTTAGTCCAAAATTCAATAGCGAGCACAAAGCGCATGAGACCTGATACATAAATAACTAATGGCATGGGTCATTTGGGATTTTATCCAATTAATGGCATGGGTCGTTGGCGAACAAAAAAAAACAAGGATTTTTATCCAACCTTTGCCCTTCTATATTAGAGAGAGAGATGGACTTTTAATGCCAACACGTTATAGAGAGAGTTTTTTTATGGCCACATGTGGAATGACATTTATTATATAGTCTTTTGAGCGAGTGAGAGGCGAACATCAAATTCATTAGGATGTATTGCGTATTTTCTACTGGATATGTTGTTTGATATTACCCTTCAAATCTCTTAATATATTTTTTTACCTACTAGGGTAGTTAATAAAATTCACACTTTTTGAAAAATTTTGAGTAATGTGTTTTAATAAATTTCACACTTTTTGAGAAATTTTGAGTAATGTGTTTCATTTCATGCCCACTATGAGCGTACCTAAACACGGGAAATGGTGTATTTCTTCGTATTGTATTTCCCCGTAATAGAAATACAAGTATCCAAAAGGCCTTCTTTACTTGACATTCCTAATCAAAATACGGTGGTCTAGCAATTTCCATAATATTTTCCATCCATTCTATTACAAAACCAGTCTTTTCTGGGTAATTGGGTTTTCCAAGCTTGGGATTTATGGGATTTAGAATATATTTGAAAATATTTGGCTAGACTATGGTCTAGGTTGTCTATGGATCATGATACATTAAGCTAACATGTCCATAGGGATTAAATGGGTTATTCTAAGGTTGTTTTCTATAAGTTTATGGCTCATTTTCTATACCTTGAGATTTAAGAATGAGGAAAAAAGTCAATTTCAAAATAGGCGTCTACACTTCCTTACCTCCACCCCTCTTCCTCAATCATTCCCACCTCCCCGCCCTCTCTCTCTCACTCTCTCTAAGACAAAACCAACAATATGAGAAATGAGACTGCCACTACTGTCCAAGATCCCCTATAAAGTTTTGTATTTTGGCTTTCTTCAAAATCTGCATCAAATGTCTATAGGATCGTATGTGGAATTCATTTTTTCCTTTTAATTTTCAAGTATAAATTCAAGTTCACTATTTTTTCTTGCATTTGATGGAATCTTATTCCTGACTCTTTATTTGATGTTGATTATATTGCCTAATTTTTTAAAAAAAATTTCAAGTCCAGATTCATTTTTCATTGTTTTCTTACATTTTGTGGTATCCTATTCTCTATTCATTAGTTGATTTGAATTGTTTTTGAGCACTTAATAATAAGAGTGATTGCTTGAATTATAGTTACCAATGTTGATTATGTTGCCTTTTTGGTGAAATATGGGATGCAAATAAGACTGGAAATGGAATGTTGGGGTTGTGTTGTAGACTGTAGATCAAGTATTCAAAAAATCAATTCATTCAAGTGGAGTTCATAGATGCTAATGACCATGATTGTTTTATTTTTTTATTTTCAAATAGATGTTCATGACCATCATATTTGTACTTTTCTAACAACTTTTTTATTATAAAAACGTGATTCATTCAAGTGGAGTTCATTGTTGCACAATAATTCATTTTAATAGGTAGATAAAAAAAGTCTGGTTTTGGAATTCACTATAATGCCTAGTAAAATTAATAATTAAGATTCATAATTTTGCTCTATAAAATCAAATAATCGAACCCATGTTTTTTCCATAGAATGAGATTAAAAGGACAGGATCATACTCTCAATATTCAATAGTAGATGCCATGTCTAAAGTGTCCCATCATTAATTATGCTTTTGAAACCACATACAAAACCCACTCATTTAGTATGCATTTTGCAACCATAT